GAGCTGAGGACTTCCAATTTACTGCTCCCATGAACTCTGGTCTTGGACAACTATCTACCCACTTGGACATCTTAATTTTAAATAAGGATCTCAAATGCCACATGTCCAAATCTGTCCTCAGTGAGCCTGTACCTCCCTAGCCCTTCCCTGACTTAGGACATGACACAGCCCTGCTGGACAATGGGCCCGTGCTAGGAGGCTGTGAATCATCCGTCTTGACTTCTCTGCTTTTCTCTTCCTCTACACCCATCACTGTCAACATTTACTAATTTTATTTCCAGAGCATTTCAGATCATTTATCTTTCTCCATCTCTGCCCCTGCCAAAATCTAGGACAATAAGATCATTTACTTGGCCTAATACCACACCCTCCCAATCAAACAACCAGGATCTGATTTTTCCTGGTCTCCTTGTGACCACTCAGGCTACTGGGAGCTGTTAAGACTGTAAATCTGATCTTGCCATTCAATCTCAATCAATCTCCTTCCAATTCTCTCATATATATATATATATATACTTGAGCACACAGATACAAAAGTTCTTTAGGAACCTTTGTTTAACCTTTAGGAAAAACTCTGAGATTTTTTGCAGAAATTGTATTTAGAGCCATTAGAATAGAAACCTCTACTCACAGCCGGGAAGCTATGATGAGGAGCTGACATTTGCAGCCCTCCTGTAGGAACAAACAGGCATTTTGGGGTGAAAATGGCTAGGGGAATTCCCATAAGAAGACAGTGTCTATAAAGACATAGAGGTGATCAGAGACTCATCTTGTGTGACCAGAGCATTATTTATAGTAATCAAAATAAAAATAAGTTGCAGCTAGTTTTTCTGAACACTGGTGCTTTGCATACTCTCTTAGTTTAGATTCCCTTGAAGTAGACCCTGAGTGGGGGATTCCTGTGAAGGTGACATTGCAGGACTCTTGGGAGAAGGGACAGTGTGGGGCAGGTTTGAGTTGGAGGGGCAGAACAAGGATGTGCTCTCAGCTGGAGCTCCTGGGGAGCTGCAGAGTTAGTCACTCTTAGGGAAGGTGAGGTTGGTTTTCAGATCACTACCAACACCTCCTTCCTGCTCGTGGTTCCCTTTTGGGAGAGACCAACTTTCCAGAGAAGGGGTACCTGCGAGTAGTTAGCAGTCAGCACCGACATGGATGTGGGTACACTGGCTGTCAAAGGGGATCTAGGAAGGCACCCATAGAACTTATAACCCACCCCTCATTTCCTGTTCCTACAACCCCAAGAAGCAAGCATTACTCCCCTGCTCAGTGGGAAGTAGATGTTACCTGCCTATGGGTATGTAGTCCATGCTAGGGCAAGAGGAGCTGAAATTCAAACACAGGTCTGCTGAGGCCCAAGCCTCCTTTCTCTCCTCTTCACACCTTCCCAGGAAAAGGCTCTTTCTGCCTACATCACTGAACCAGGAAATACCGCTCCTTGCCACTCCTGGCCAAGGCCTGTCCTCTGCAGGGGAAGAGCTGCTCTTTGCAAGCCTTTCAGGCCCCAAGGTGACTCATAAGCCTGCAGCTCTGCTTGGAAACTGTATTTTATTCTCAGGCCGTCCAGGCAAGTCTGGCACAAAAGAAATGCAAGGTCTTGTGGAAGGGGGAGTGGTTAATTTGTGAAAGCTAAGGCAGTTACCCAGGAATTCTGTGGAGATTTGCAAAAAGCAAATAATGGAGTACACATTTGCAAAAGCACCTCCAACTCATAAGAGCTGGTTAGAAAAATTTTAAAAAGGGACAGAGTTGGCTAATATACACCCTCAGTATAGGTTATAGTTTCTAAATAAAGATGGTGTTTCAGGACGAGTCTTAAACAGCAGGTTTGTAACATGGGAAAAATGGACATATTCTGGAAACAAATGCTTCCAAGAAATGGATTCTTACTCATATCTAAAGTTTGAACATTATAGATGCCCAATACACATTTGCCAGATAAGCGAAACTGGTATTTATAAAATACGTTTTATGACATTTAGAGTGCTTAGTTTCTGAACACTCTGTTGGCTATGAGGCCTTCACTTTGGTCGCACCTTTATGTTAGCCCTTCAGCAACAATTCCTGCAAAGGGCAACGCAGCGCCCCGTGGAGGTATTCATCTGTGTGTGAGTTCAAATGAACACCTCAAGAAGAACCCCTGCCATCAAAGACCAGAGGCCAGTAAAGTCACACTGAGCTGTAAAAGCTGCAGGTTCTGGGTGAGTCTGAGTCATTCTTCAGCAAAACCAGCAAAAACTACATCCCCTGTGTTTCCCACATGTGGTAGTTTGTGAAAAGCCTACAATGCTGTGCCATCCTCCCCATCAAGAGGTAGAATCTATTTCCCATTACTCCTTGAATCCAAATTGGTCTGTGTCAAAGCCAGACACAGTCTAGAAAGAGCCAGAAGCAGAGATGCACCAGTTCCAAATCTAGGCCCCAAGAGGTCTGTGGCGTCTGCCCTCACTGCCTTGGGAACGCTTACCCCATCCTCACACTGCCCTGCTAGAGAAAGACAGCCCGTATGTCAGTCAGCCCACACTGCCCTGGAACTCACTGCTGCCGCTCCAGCAACTCCAGGCAAGACCAGAAAAGCCACTGACTTGACCAGTCAAGCCACCAAGCAATGACATTTGTTGTTTTAAGTCATTATGTTTTGAGGTGTTTTTCACGTAGCAAAATGAATACACTGTAAGAGGGCAGCACTGTTTCTGCAAAATTGCTCACATTAAGGCTGTCTCGTGCTCCTGGGTAGATTTAGTTAACCTCAGAGAATCCCAATGTCTTTTTCTGAAAGTTTTAAGTTAGGGAGACCCTCTGAATGACAGCACAAGAGATCTGGAGGAATTCTCTGGAAGTCCAACTTGTTCACTGTTAGGGAAAGTAGAGTTCAGAAAAAGAAGGGACCACATCCACTCATACAAATATTTCCCAGTGCCTGCTATGTGCTAGACAAGCTACCCCCAACTAGAGTGCTCAACAGTGAGTGAGAGAGAGCAGATTGTCCCTCCATAGAGCCACAGTCTAGTGTGGAAACCAAACATTACTCAGGTGATCACACAGACATGTAGATGGCCAAAGACAGTGACAACTGTTGTGAATTAAAATGTCCTTATGGACACGAGAATAACAGGGAGGGGACCTAATTTGCTGTGGAGGTCAGCTAAACACCAAAAAGGCTTTGTAAATCATGAAACCAGAGGCAGAGAGCTGACGGAGTTGCTTATTAAGGGGTTGAGGTGCAAAAGAGAACATTTATTTGCCCCACGTCTCTTCTCAAGCAAGCACTGTGTTCCCCTCTGTCCAAGTCAAGATAAGACACAACCCTAAATCCTGCTTTCCTATCTCTGTAGGACAGTACAGACATTTTCTACCAGCGTGGAGCCTGTTACAGTTAATATCTAGATGTCCCCCAAGGCCCTCATGGACTCACGGGTAGGGACTTGGGCAGGTGATTGGATTATGGGGACTAACAGCTGTCTTGCTGTTAGGAGGTGGGATCTGGCTGCAGCAGGCACTGGGGGTGTGGCCTAGAAGGGTTTCTCTGCCCCTCTTCACTTTCTGCTTCCTGTTGGCCATGCCACAGCAACTCTCCTCTGCCTTGCCCCCTCACTATGCCATCCTGCCTTAGCACCAGCCAACTATGGGCTGAAACGTAAGTTGTGGGTGTCAGGTATTTTGTTCCAGTGACAAAGAAAGTGATGAAGAAAGAGCCAGAACCAACTGCACCTCAGTAAAGTTTTGAAAGCACAGGCTCCGTGCAGTAACAAATGCTACTGTAGTAGACAAGACTAAGAGGAGATGTTCAGAGGTGAGCTCTGGTCTTTTGAGTTTAACATATTTCCTAGCTGCTTATGGATAATTAAATGGCATCAGCGGATGCTTCCAGGGCCTGAGATCTTGTCCACCAGTGCAGGCTGACACATATCAAAGCAATAAAAAGACAGCTTTGTAGCAGCAACATGCAACTCTCATGGGGACAGGCCAGATAAGGGGTATGGTGTGGTGTCCCCAGCATGAACATCCTTGGCATGGCAGGGAAAGTGAAGGGTTCTGCAGCTGCCCCACTGGGGCCACAGTGTGTTCCCCACTGGCACTACCCTCTAGGGTCACAGACCCTTAAGAGTCACAAAGTAAGACACATAAGTGCCTGTGAATGAATAGGTTTCTGTTTCCTCATCTGGGAAATATGGGCCCACACTGATGGCTGAGAGGCCACCCAACTTGGCCTGCCACAGCCATAGACAGCAGAGCTTCGCTCCAGGACCAGGTTCGTCTTCCAGCTCCCAAAGTTTCCCAGCAGCTATGAAACTCTTCAACCCTCATCCAGCACCCTGAGCTGGGGCAGCCTTTTGGCTCCAATGCCTCAGAAAACTACCCTAAGGGGAAGATCCTTTCCAGAATCCTGGGTGAGGATGCTCCCTGATTAAAGCATTAATTTTCAGCCCCCCATGGGAATTTTTATTCTGGGTGGCATCTGTGAGCCTCAAAGGGCTGCACTGGAGTTGGGACAGCCTTTCCCAGGGAGTGCTTGGTGCCTTCACCACCAGGAAGGACCTCACAGGAAGTCTTTCCTGCCCTCCCTTTGGCTCCAACCATAAGTTACGCCAGTGGCTTCAGACCCCCACCTCCAGGTGAGTGATAGACGCTGTATGGTCGTATGTGATCCATCAGAGAATGTGTCCCCATGGGTACTGTGCCAGAGGCAGGCAGCAACAGGGAGCACAGGACACACTACTCACTGATGCTGAAATTTTCCCTGAGCATGAGGAAGGTGAGAAACACAGTCTGAGTTTCATCAGGTCCTCAATGATGTCAAAAGCAGACAGTTGATTTACAGGAAACACTGTAGTCCCAGTTTGATTGTCCCTCTTAAGGAGTCAACTGATACTCCTAAGCATCTGCAAGAGGACAGCTTTGGGCTGTGTCCCCCAACTCAGCACCCTTTTTTCCTCTACCCAGCAGCTCAGCAGCAGCCAACCCAAAGCTCAGAACCCGGCTCAGGGAGGAGGAGCACCCACCTGGCCAGTTGACAGGAGCTCTGGGTTTCCATCACTCATCCCCACGTAGGCACTGTCACCATCAAACTAGAATAGAGAGAGAGAAGCAGCTCTGATTAAAATGTTCTCAGGGAAACACCAAGAGAAGCAGCCAGAGGTCAGGAGACTGTGTGCTGCAGGGATGGGCCTGGGGATTTGCAGAAGTAAAACTTGGAGTCTGGGATGCTGAGACCTGTTTCAGCAGGGCTCCTTCAGGGTAGAAGGCGCAGCCCTGTCCTGTGGTCCCAAGGGCTGTTAGCATCATTAATCACATGTAGCATAGAGACAGGAAAGTCTTTTGGCCCTCCACACCTTGTCCATAGATACAGCAGATTGCCTTCTCAGGCACCGAGCCTCCTACCTCTGGAGAGGAGACCTCCCTAAGCCAGAGCAATGCCAGGCAGTCGACTAGAGCTGGGATTCTGTGTGGTCCAACTTTCTCCAGAGTGATGGGGCTATGCCAGCCTGCCCTAGTCATGCCCCTCCCTCAGTTCTTTCCCTCTCCCCGATCCCATTCTAGTTCTTAAGCCACTTGGCGCCACAGGCAGGAACCATGAAGAGAAGCTACAGTTCTGTGTTCAAGAAGCTGCCACGCCAGGATTCAGGAAGAGTTCCCCTCAGCAGGGAGCAGCTGCAGTGTGAGAAATGTTGCTCTCAGGCCCCTGGCTCCCTCTTCACTCTGATGTGTGATGCTGAATGGTTCTGAACTTCTGAGTTCCTCATGGATCAACAGTGCTAATAAGAATAGTCACTTTTTCATGGGATGTTGAAACTGAGAGCGTTTTACTCACATGTCACTACGGACTGCATTTCACACAATTCCAGATGCATTTTGCCCTTGAGCCAGGTGTCTGAGACAAGGGCTCAATGCATTTGATTTCTGAGACATGCTCTTAGCCATAACTTACAAGCCTGAGAGGGAAGCAGGACCTGTCAGTAGGTAAAGCTAAACAAGGAGGCAGTCTCAGTTAGAGACTCACTTTAGCCTAATCCCAGGTAGCTCTGCACCATGACCCTTCACAGTCAGTCCCAGCAGGAGGAACAGGTGGCCTTCCGCATGCAAATCAGTCACTGGGTGTAGGCTGCCCTTAGGAGACACAGGAGGTGTAACTTTCCATGCCAGGGGCCCCCACTGCACCAGGGACAATTATCCAGAGGTTTATACGTGCTGTGAGTCATTCGCAGCCAGTGCCACAACAGCTGGGGGCAACTGGGCATTTTATTTTAATCAAATAATTTATTAGGACATAGTCACATGGTCAAAAGTTCCAAAGACACACAGTGAAAAGCATCCCTCCCATCCCATCTCCCAGCCAGCCAGACAAGTCCCTCCCCAGAGGCAACCATGCTTACAGCGTCCCTGCATCCTCTTAAAGACAGCCTGCCCTGACACAGTTTCTCATTACGTCTTCCGCCCAGATGGCAGCACACCATGCACACTGTTTTGTACCTTATTTTTCTTGTAGCAACACATCTTGGGAAGTGCTGTACAGAAGACCACAAACTCTTTCTGCCGGTACCTAGTATTTCACAGAAAGGGTGTTAGCTGGCTAAGCACATGGGCAGTTGCCCTGTTTCTGGTCTTCTGCTATTCCGACATGGTTGTCATGGGTATTTTTATATGTGCATCACTGTGCAAGGTTATGAGCTGGTCTGCAGGATGGATTGTGTAACGCCCATTTGTGATTCTGGTAAACTTCTCCAAGAAGCCCCCGTGGAGACTGGAAAACTCCACACCACCACAATTATACATTCAGGAGCTATCAGCCCATGGCCCGCCTAGATACCAACATTCCCCAGGGGGTTCTCAGAGTCTGCCTCCACCACTACCACCTACCCTGCCTTACTTTGTTCTTTGTTCCCCTTACCTTCTAACAGTCTCTAACATTTGCTTATTCATCATATTCATTGTTTAAGGTTGGATTCCCATACTAAGCCATAGAGTCTGGGGGCCAGGGATGTTAGTCTATCCATACACCAAAGACTTGCAAGTTTCTAGAACAGTGCCTGGCATAGACTACATGCTCAATAAATGCTTGTTGAATGAATGAATGAAGCAGACAATTTAGACGATCTCTGGCCAGACCAGTCTTCCTATCTAGGCAGAGAATACTGGTGGTTACATCTCCCCAGCACAAAAACAGGCAGTGTTCTTTGGTGACTGCTGGATTGATTACCAGAAGAAAGGGTGGTGCCATGTCCAGAGGCAGGGTACTGATCCAAGTGCAGGACGCCCAGAGCATGTGCTTTGAGGCCTATCTCAGGGCCACCTACTCCAGGAGACCTGCCGTACTCCTCTCGCTGTCCCACTTCCAACACAGACTGTCCCATATCTGCAGGCTGCCCAGGGTAGAAGTACCATGCTCTGAAGGTCGGTGAAGGGGCATCACGGTGGCATTAGGAAGGGGACTACGATTTGGGAAGAGCAGGGGAGCTTGTAACCAAAGCTCTTGAGTACCATTTGCTTTGTCAACATAGCTGCTTACTATTTTGATAAAAGTGAAACTTTTTAAACAACATAATTTATAGGTATATTCAAATAGAAATAATTGATTGGAAGAGGACTAAGTTTAACAAGAAATTTGAAACATTTTACAAATCAGTAAGCAAACCCAACAGTGAAGATTTTTTTGTTTTATCTTGTTTTGCTTTGTTTTGTTGTTTTGTTTTTTGGACAGAGTCTCACTATGTAGCCCAGGCTGGCCTCGAACTCATGGTAATCATCCTGACTTGGCCTATCGAGTGCTGAGATTACAGGCAGATGCCACCACGCCTGGTTTATAGTATAGATTTAAAATACAAGATGTAACAAAGGAACAAAAGGAAACATATCCCCCCAAACCTGGGTAATAGCTACCATTTATTAAATGTGGGCTAGAACAGAGCCACCACAAAAGTAGGGGCCAACATTTGCCTCATTCCCTGCATTGGAAGCACAGCAGGCAACTAATAAACATTCAGTGAATGAACAAATACAGCTGGCACTGAGAGACATGCTTTACGTAAAAGGTCTCCTCTAACTCTTACAATGGCCCAAGGAAGAAAGTATTCTTTTCCCTATTGAATCAAGAACAGGTAAAGCAAGGGTAAGTAGCTGCTAAAGATCACACAGCTGTGAAGAGATCAGACCAAGTGACAGAGAGACCAAGAGTTTCTAGATCCTTCCATGTAACCTAACAGAGGCTTGATAGTGTGTTAGGGGCTCAGGAAAGGCTGAGATTTGAAAAGTGAGCCATTGGGAACAGGCAAGGGATGGAACAGTGGAGTCCTGTGAGGCCGGCACGGCATGACTTAAGTAGTCTTAATCATTCACTCATTCAACCAACATCTGAAAAAGAGTTGCCAGGTGCCAGAGTAAAGCTTGCTTCTGGCTTTCCGGCAGGGATTGGCTGGTGGAGGTTTCCAGCAGGGTCTTCGTCTGCCTCGGTTCAGATCTTCCTGGGTGCCCAGCACAGTGCCCTGGAGCATGCTGGGCTGAGCAGCTGTGGAGAGGGGCCTGAGATAGAGAGGCCTGGTATCTGCCCATCTCTACCAGGGCAGAGCCCTTGTGCGGTGGGGAGGGGTGAAAGGAACCCCAGAGTCTGCAGTCCCTTTGACTCCAGGAAAGGAAGCCTTTGACTTGACATCTTGGGCAAGAAAGCCTGGGCTTCCTCCCTTAGCCCTCCCGGAGTGGGACTCTTCCTAGGGAAAAGGACTTGCAGGCCAAGGACAGAGTCATCAAGTTGCCTCTTCCCCCAACACAGCAGGCCACCTTCTCTTCCCTGTGCACACAGGCGAGAAGGAAAGCACTCTCACCCACACCTGCTGCCCAGCGTATGCGGAAGTGAGCATGAAGGCATACGACACATACAATGTTCATAAGCCTAGGGACACACGTGTATCACAAACCCACAGTCACGTGGGCCTGTGTCACACCCAGTTCAGGGTTCAACAGAATACTCAGTCCCACCTGTCCCACATCCACGGGTGACACAAAGCAACACAAGTTATGTGCACATATCACAGCCACTGTGTGTGAGTGGTACACAATACCCGCCGTGGCCACACACGCAGGGGAGGAGGCTAAGCCAGGCATGTGCGAATACACCACATGCCTGGGACTGTCGAATGCAACATATATATGAACACCAGCACACACCACATGGGCATGCAGAGACACACAGCAAAGTGGCACAGGGGATGGAATTCTGTGTATATTTCATAATGTACCCGTCCCTCAGCCAAAATTCTTTTTTCATGCCATACAATCTTGGTATGCTTTAAAATGTGAAGGAAAAAAATAGGTACGGAGAAACAACAGCCTAAGAATTGCCATGAAACGTCAGAACATCCTCTTAGCACCGACTGGAATAGATTAATTTTCCCCATTTCATATTCTAATTATAATTCCTTTTCCCATTGCCGTCTTCAGTCGTCATTACAGCTGGAAGATTGTTCTGCAAAAGCCAGGCCTTCATCTTCTCTTCCCAGGAGTTTTGTCATGGAAATGAGTTTTGGAATCTGAAAGAACCCACATTTTTGCAAATATCGAATCTGTAGGGATAACCCTTTCATGGCAGCCACCAGGGACACGCTCGCAGAGACTTCTGAAGAATCTGTCCGTCCCCACACAGTGCGGTCCCCTTGGAGAGGGGCTCTTGGACCCTATTCCAACAGCCACCCCCCAACCTAAGCACACCATGTTCCTCCAAAGAAATTTTTTTTTTTTTTGGAAGGGAACTTAGCAAACAGATAATCAAAATGAAAAGCAAAGAGCCGTGATCTTAGAGAGTCAGATCCCAGCTCTGTCTTACCTCAGGCAACTTCCTGCTCTGGCCTTGGCTTCATCATTTGCGTTTGACCCACAGTCACTAACTCATGACAGACATAAACTAAGTTTCTGTGGGGTGAACGCATGTGAGAAGGGGCAGAGGAAAGGGTGGAAGGGAATAAAGGTCAACGTGTATGGGTTGACAGGTGGCTTGATAAGTAGGTAGCTAGATGAATGATGGATGAATAAATGGATGGATGGATGGAGGGATGGATGGATGGGTGGATAAATGGATAAC